TACAAGTATACAATATTGTAAAATCAATACATAAAATGTTTTCTGCAAAAGTAAATTTAAGTATTTAAATTATTGTATTAGTACCTATTACTTCTAGTAAAATAAATTACTTACCAAAAATTGGACAATACGCGATAAATCAACTATACGCCTTACACTCGTATTCTCTAGTTAATCATTTCTGGTTGAAGTGATGGCTATTGCAATGCATCATTGATGCATTGGGTGATGGGGACGCCACTTTCCCAACTCCATAATAATTAAACACTAGGTGTGCTAAAGTCAAACATAGAAAGGTATGATATTCACTTGCATAATTTGCATTGATTTCTTCCATTGTCTGGCACCAATGACAGCTTCCAAGGCCTTTACTGTATTTCCGGCTTTGATAAAATGAGAGATAACAGCGTCTTGTTGTTTCTGGCATACTAAGAAATCACCCCATTTTTCTTCTAAAGAAACTACATCTGAAAATGTATTTAACAATAATAAGGCCTCTGAGATTTAATATATTTCGATGTTTTAATAATTTAAATATTTTAGTAAATTGGTTGTGTAAAAGATCTCCCTTCACGTGATAGTATACACATATTGCATATTATACATTGCGTCGTTGTAACGCATTATTTAATTCTAACATTATTAGGTGTAATAATATTATTATTGGAACACATAAATGCATATTATAGCATTAATGAATATTGAATAGAGTAGGTAATATTAAACTCGAGGTTTATGACGGCGTAGTGTATAGGCAAAACAGGTACCTACATGAAACCGATTTCTTCATTTTACGTTAGGTAGGTACCAAATTTGAGGATCTCAAACATAAAAATGTATAACAAAATAGGTACGTTACCCTGGTCTTCGATGTCAGAATTTTCCAAAGTGAATTATATCATTAGTTAGTAACCAATTCGGGTTTTCAGGTCTGTAACGATTCGCAGTTTACTGACTCGTCATTTATGTCGCACTCGCCGAATTTGCTTAGGTAAACAGCAAACAGGAACGTAGAGTACGAGCCTATATATTATTGGCATAGCAGCCAGTCGAGTTTGATCCGTGAAATAGAGACTATACATCAGTCTACTATAGTCATATTTACAATATTATTAAACGTGATTAATTGATTAACTTTAAGTATATAATAACGTACCTAATAGTTAAATTATAATAATTCAGTATTGTTCAACTCGTACTCCGCTACTCCTGTTATCTTCAATATACTACCCTTAAGAACAGGGTTACTCAGGTGATAGTGTATTTTATTGGTTATAATATTATAATTACTTTAGTCTTGAATAAAACATTGTATTCGTTGCTATATCGTGTTAATTGTGTTAGCTTATTAACGAAGGTCATAAGTTTCTAGGACCTGTAAAATATAACTCAGAAAACTTTATTTATATCAATTCAACAACCCGGATCTAAGGACCGGTTTGTGTAGTGGGAATAGCCAACCAACTACTCCTTAACTGGATGGAGTTAGGTATAAATATCGACAGCCACTGGGTTTGACAAACCGAGGAGGTGTGTTGCAATTTGGTGGAGGCGCCGGGCAAATATTTAACAAATATTTAATTCCCCATAATTGTTCATAATTACTAACACAATTATATCGATTTTGGTACTTATCAGGGAACGGTTTACGTCTTTGTTTGTTTAATGACAATATTTAATTTGGAATCCACATTATTTATTATTTTCAAAAATTTTAATTTAAACAATATAGTATAATTATAAAAAATCTATTTTTTTTAGCAAATGTTTAAGTATTATTTTAAAAGAGCGGGTAATAATCAAACCATTCATATTTCTCAACGTACTTGGTCAATTTTAAGCTTAGATAAGTCTATAGATGTCTCTAGTTTAACGCCAAACGTATGTATATCTTATATTAAAACAATTAAGTATTCAGAGATCGCTGAAGCTTTTTCTCAGTGTAGGAATATAAAATTACCCAGTGACGTTATAGAAATCGCTAAACTTGACTTTGGAATTCTTTTTTCGTTAGAACTTCCAAGTAAACTCAAAAAAGAAGAATTTACACAGAAGTCGTTAGAGGAAAAGATTGAATTACTTTCTGTACCTAAATCTTTGTACCTTTATTATTTTTTTATCTAAAGATGATCTAATACAAATTTTACGGTTTTTAAATAAGGAATTTTCAAAGAATAGCGAAACCGTAGACTTACGACTTTTAGTAAGATCTATTTTAGACAAAAATCAAAGTGAGGACGATAACGATAGTGATCCAGATTTTATACCTAAACCTTTTAATATCGAGAGGAGATCACCTGTTATAACGCGTTCAAAAAAGACGGATACTGATTTAGTTGATCCAATTAATATTAACGATAGACTAGAAATTTCCAACATGTCCAAACCAATTTTTTTTAAACCCGAATTTTATAGTGGCGAACCGGACGAATGTGTCAACGAATTTATTGAAAATTATAATTTGATATCTGTGGCTAATGAGTGGTCTGATGATAAAAAAATAATGTATGTCCCAATATATCTCAAAAAAAGCGCAAAGGCATTCTATCAAAATTATATCATAAATAATCCTACACCAACATGGAGTCATTTTGAACTAGAACTCAAGGAATATTTCATTTCACCGGGGAGGACCAGAATGCTTAAAGCAAAATGAACAAACAGAAAATAAAAATTAACCGAAACAGTTTCCCAATTTCTAGCGGATTTTCAATTATTAGCCCATAAAGTTAACCCTAAAATGACGGACACGGAAAAAATTGATTTAATATTGGAAGCGCTCCCACCCGATTTTTATAACCCAGTCGCATTAATGAATAATAATACACTCTCGGACTTACAAAAAAATTTGCGTAAGGTAGAATCAGCAAGAGCAACGGTAAATGAACGAAATAACACTCATAATTTTGATGCTCTTAAAGCAGAAATAGAATCTTTAAATCAAAAACTGGTAGAACAAAATGCTTTTGTTGCTAATCAATTATCATTATAATAATAATGGCTATACAAATAATAATCGCAATAATTTTAAAAAATATAATTATAACAACAATAATAAAAATAAATATCAGAATTATAATACAAATAGAGAAAGAAATTTTAACGACTCAAATAATTTTAAGAATAATAAATTTGATAGAAATAATTATTACCAGTCAAATGAAAACTTTAATGGTAAACAACATTTTAATAACAGGCAGTTCACGGGTAATCAAAATCGTAACACAGGTTTTAAAAATAATAATAATTTTCAACAACCACATACCATGAATAATGTTAATAAAAGTAAATTTTATAATTCACTACACCAAAATTATGATGATAAAAAGTTTAATTATTCAAATCAGCATTATAAACCAGATAATAATATGAATAATCATAATCAATCAAATTACTTACCCGAAAACACCAAACAAGGCCCTTACTCGGGTCAAAATAATGTACCATCGAATAAAAAAACATTTAATAATCAAAAAAACATGTAAGTCATGAGGTAGACATTAGGCTATCTCCTGACAATTTTATGAAAAATCCTAATTTTGACGCACTAAAAAATGCAAATGAAAAGAATGCTGAACAGATTTCTAGCTGTACTGAGAATGTTAACGAGGTACCTATTCTAGCTATTAGATTAGAAGTAGTCGGATTTATAAATAATAAAGAAACCCCTTTCATATTAGATTCAGGTGCAACTATTTCTGTTATTAACATCGAACAAGTTCAAATAAAAAATGCCTTTATCGATACAAAAAATGTTAGATTTCATACAGCTAATGGCTCGGTTCTAAAAGTAGAAGGAAAAATAGATATTAATATACTATTTCACAATTTAATTTTCCCAAACCCCCCAAGGAAGCGATATAGCGCCTTTCCTTTACACCATATTTACACATGACACTCCGAAAACTTTACTTACATCATTAGGCACATACGCCGACGATACAATAATCCTGGCCTCAAATGACAACCCTCAAACTGTGTCTGATAGGTTACAAAATCATCTAAACATGATCCAGATCTGGTCAAAAAAATGGAAAATAAAAATAAATGACTCCAAATCCTCCTTTATTACCTTTTCACTAAGACCTGGAGACTGCCCTCCAGTTTCATTCAATAATAACTTAATTCCATCAACCCCTGTAGTCAAATACCTGGGCCTAACGTTTGATAAACGACTCACCTGGGCTCAACACCTCAAAAACAAAAGGAAATCTGTAAACTCTAGACTTCACTTGCTCCGTCCACTTCTCCGCTCCAAACTAAACATCAGCAATAAATTGTTAATCTACAAAGCTATTTTAAGACCTGTATGGGCATACGGTATCCAGATATGGGGCTCCGCGAAACCCTCAAACCTACGAACTATACAAGCCTTCCAATCAATATGTCTCCGTCAAATCGCTTCTGCCCCTTGGTATATAAAAAACGCCAATCTTCACAAAGACTTAAACGTTCCCACACATTCTCAGCTAACCAAATCCCACTTCCTCTCATTCCATTCTAAGCTTAATCACCATACTAATCCATTAATTAAACGTCTGTCTTCTTGTACAATTCCCGATAATCCTAGAAGAAGATTGAAACGATCTTGGCCTAGAGATTTCCTTGCTTGATCTGTCGGGTGGTACTACTGAGTACCTTCCCTCTCGGTAATTCAACGTTATTGTCAATCAAAAAAAATTACCTATTGTACATATGTTTGTATAGATTGTAATTATTCTTTTAATAAAAATAAAAAAAATAAAAAAAAATAAAAAAATAAAAAAAAATTTTCCCAATACAGTTTGTATTATTTTCTAATCTTGCTGGACCAGCGTTACTTGGTACAGATTTTTTGAGTAAATATAGACTACAATTAGATTTTTTTAATAAAGAAATAGTTATGTACAAAAATATAAATAATAAAGTAAAATTTAAAATTGGATCTAAAAATGATATTTATAATAGTTGTGAAATTGTAGACGATAGTTTTAAGCAACATAAAGAATCTACAGAAACTAAGGAAAATAAAATCAAAGTAAATACTAGAAATACCAAAATAAATAATTCAATTTTAAACGAGCAAAATGATTATATTATACTGTTAGAAAAATTAGCTAAACAAGTTCATGACCCTTATGAACAGTGGGGGGATTATAATAAAAAAAGGTGGGCAAGTGGGTGTCGCTCTGCTGTACAGTAGGTTACAAGTGGGTCACTGTATAATGGATGGTATTACATTTGAATTCAATGATATAATATCATTGTATAAGAAAAACGATTCTGAGCGGAGACGGTATGTCCTTCTAGGTATAAGACATATTATATACATATTTATGGTATTAAACAAAAAATTGACCTATAATAGGTACCTATAATAAATTCCAAATTAATCATATCACAATATCCATTAGATACTTATAACGCGTTATACATCAACAAAAACCGTGATACTAGCATAGATATATAATAGTACACTTTAGAAGTTTCAAGTACCCACGAATAATATTATTCAATCACAACAAAATAACTAAAATCGTAATTCTTGGTTTAAATATGAAATTTTGTCTAAATTTGAAATTAAAATGTCTGTAAAAAATAAGTGTGTTTATATATTTTTTAGATTTTTTGGTTACAGTATGAATTATTTAAGAGAATCTTTGTTTTAAATTTTCAACTCTTAGTTATAAAAACTGAACATTTTATAATTTTTTAATTCCAACGATTGATAATTTTCGAGATTTTGATAAATTTTGTCAAAATTCCAACTTTAAATGCTTATAAAAAAAAATCGTGCCTATGTATTTTTAATATTTTTCAACTGATATTGTAACAATATATCAGGAGCCTTGTATTACATTTTTACACTTTTTGGCCCAACAGATAAAACTTTATTGATATTTATAGAAAAAAAAACTAAAAAAATTGAAAGCTGTAAATCTCCATAAACAGCTCAAAAAGAGTCAAAATATTTTCAAAATTGTATGGTGTATAGGAAATGCTAATATAAACATTCAGTGAAATTTTCATGTATCTACAGTTATTTGTTTTTGAATTACAACAAAATAAGGAAATCGCTACATGAGAAATCGAGTGAAAATCCAATGTTGTAAAAATTTGAATTTCAAACGCTCATAAAAATTTAATTTGACTGTCCGGTAGAGATTTTTTTATTGATAAAGGTAGATAATCTTATAAGGAATCTTGTGTTTCATTTTCAAATCTTAGATTTAAAAAGAAAAATTTTTACGAATTCTTAACTCAAAATAATTTGCTAATTTTCGTGATTTTTCCATATTTTGTCAATTTTTGAACTTTAAATGCTTATAAAAAAAAATTGTGACTAAGGATTTTTAATATTTTTCATCTGCCTTTGAAACAACATATTAGGAGCCTTCTATTAAATTTTCAAGCTTTCGCAACCAACAAATAAAATTTTATTGATATTTTAAGAAAAAAAACTAAAAAAAATGGAAAATGAAAATGTCCCTAAACAGTTCAAAATAAATCAAAATATTTTGAAAATGTTATCGTGTATAGAAAATGCAAATATTAACAACCAGTGAAATTTTCATGTATATACGTTCATTTGTTTTAGAGTTACACCAATAACCAAAATCGATTTTTTGGAAAACCAATTTTGCGTAAAAATTCCCGTTTTTCCTTAATTTTTGTGTTGTTTTTCCCGGCGCTTGTGAAAACTACTGCTAAATTTATACTTTTGACCCCCCAAAGTACCAACTAGATTCACTTTCCTATCAGAAAAGCTACTGATGAAGAAAATCCAAGCACTTTTACTGTCCCAAAACGTGATGACAGACACAAAAAAAAATATAAAAATATAAAAATATAAAAATATAAAAATATAAAAAAAAGGTGGGCAAGTGGGTGTCGCTCTGCTGTACAGTAGGTTACAAGTGGGTCACTGTATAATGGATGATATTAAATTTGAATTCAACGATATAATATCATTGTATAAGAAAAACGATTCTGAGCGGAGACAGTATGTCAGTCTAGGTATAAGACATATTATATACATTATACATATCTATGGTACTAAACCAAAATTTGACCTATAATAGGTAGGTACCTATAATAAATTCCAAAATTAATCATATCAAAATATCCATTAAGTACTTATAACGCGTTATACATCAACAAAAACCGTGATACTATCATAGATATATAATAGTACACTTTAGAAGTTTCAAGTACCCACGAATAATATTATTCAATCACAACAAAATAACTAAAATAGTTATTCTAGGTTTTTTAATATGTAATTTCGTCCAAATTTGAAATTAAAATGTCTGTAAAAAATAAGTGTGTTTATATATTTTTTAGATTTTTTGGTTACAGTATGAATTATTTAAGAGAATCTTTGTTTTAAATTTTCAACTCTTAGTTATAAAAACTGAACATTTTATAATTTTTTAATTCCAACGATTGATTATTTTCGAGATTTTGATGAATTTTGTCAAAATTCCAACTTTAAATGCTTATAAAAAAAAATCGTGCCTATGTATTTTTAAAATTTTTCAACTGATATTGTAACAATATATAAGAAAGCTTGTATTCAATTTTCAGACTTTTTGGCCCACCAAATAAAATTTTATTGACAATTATAAAAAAAAAAACTAAAAAAATTGAAAACTGAAAATGTCCCTAAACAGCTCAAAAAGAGTCAAAATATTTTCAAAATTGTATGATGTATAGAAAATGCTAATTTAAACATTCAGTGAAATTTTCATGTATCTACAGTTGTTCGTTTTTGAATTACAACAAAATTAGGAAATCGCTACATGAGAAATCGAGTGAATATCCAATGTTGTAAAAATTTTAATTTCAAACGCTCATAAAAATTTAACTTGACTGTCCGGTAGAGATTTTTTTATTGATAAAGGTAGATAATCTTATAAGAAATCTTGTGTTTCATTTTCAAATCTTAGATTTAAAAAGAAAAATTTTTACGAATTCTTAACTCAAAATAATTTGCTAATTTTCGTGATTTTTCCATATTTTGTAAATTTTTGAACTTTAAATGCTTATAAAAAAAAATTGTGACTAAGGATTTTTAATATTTTTCATCTGCCTTTGAAACAACATATTAGGAGCCTTCTATTAAATTTTCAAGCTTTCGCAACCAACAAATAAAATTTTATTGATATTTCTAGAAAAAAAACTAAAAAAAAATGAAAAATGAAAATGTCCCTAAACAGTTCAAAATAAATCAAAATATTTTGAAAATGTTATCGTGTATAGAAAATGCAAATATAAACAACCAGTGAAAATTTCATGTATCTACGGTCATTTGTTTTAAAGTTACACCAAAAACCAAATTCGATTTTTTGGAAAATCGATTTTGCGTAAAAATTCCCGTTTTTCCTTAATTTTTATGTTGTTTTTCCCGGCGCTTGTGAAAACTACTGGAAAATGTTTACTTTTGACCCCCCAAAGTACCAACTAGATTCACTTTCCTATCAGAAAAGGTACTATTGAAGAAAAT